AAGAATGGAAAATACCCTCTGTACCAGGGGTACAATGCCAAGGTACAGAGCTGTCCCTCCATAAGGCACCCTGGAAGCCTGTCAGAGCACACTGATTTTGGCTATTTTACATAGATATGCCTCCCGCGATATAGGGGAACAGAGCTTTGCTGCAGTAGGAAGAATTTCTTCACTGAAAGGGTGGTCAGACATTGGAACGAGCTGCTCAGGAAAGGGTATAAACATAACATGTGCCAGAAATTTTCTTGTAGAATTTTCAATCTGTATTCAAAGAAAAACAAGAAACCAAAAATGAGGAAACTGCACTGAAAACAGGATATTTGTATTGCTCAGAACTTCTTTTCTGGAAGGTCACAGTGATCCTGCAGAACAGCCCCAACACTTGCCTCTGACACCATGTATCTGCCTGGCCAAAGATGGAGAATCTAGATTTTTCCCTTTAAATCCACATCAGCTTCCTAAACTTCATAAAAGAAAACATGTAATAAATCCCTAAATGCCTCCCTTTGGGGCATGGAAAACCAACCAACCCCCCCAACGTATTCCATCACAGCATGGTGACCCAGGACTGTCCTTAAGCCCTGGAGCACACATTCCCATATTCTGCCTCTAAGTGTCCCACTTACTGTGGGACAAACAGCAAGAAACAGCTGGGCGAAGTTCAAGGAACTGGATTTTGGGCAAGACTGAAAAAGCACAAGAAAACTTGAGATTCATTAACTGTGGAAAAATTTGCTACATTGCCACAGTGCAAGTGACCCTTGAACCTGATCACATGTGTGAATGCAGCATACACAGTGCCTTGTAAATGCCAATAAACCCTGAGATGAAGTGCTGACTGAAGCCAAAAACCCTCTGGTATGAGTTCTGCCAGCTTTATAACTGCAATTCAATCTACTTCTTGAGAAAAGGTTAACAGGGGTCTAAACAGCAGCTTTTCAAGAAGACTTTGTTCTTGAGGAGATTTATTCTTAAATAAGCTTCAGAGAAGCCACTGTCTTGTGCCTCATGAGAATTAACTGTTACCTCTTCTGTGTTTCTTTACCTTTTCTTTCTGCTGTAATTTCCCATTTTGTAACCAATGTTTTAACCCTTCACCTCATGAGGCTAAAACTTGCTTTCACTTTAAGCCTGTCCAACACTTAGGGTCAGCTGGGATCAGCTGAAGCAACAATTAACGGCACATTTCACATTCAGGCACAAAGACAAATGCCCCTGTTCATCTGCAGTTCAGGAGAGAGGGGTTTGTTGTTAAATTGCAAGGATCTATTTGAGCACGAGAGATCTTTAGCAGTTTAACAGGTACCTCTCAAAACAAGAGTAGGGAGCTGTGGGGGAAAGCCACTGTTGCACCAGCAGTTGCCGAAACTCAAGAGCAGAGAGGACAACTTCCCTACATGGTTTCATGTCACAGCAGGTACCTGGAATTGCTTGGGAGTCACACACAGCATTTTTCTGCTAACTGATTTCAGCAAACCGCTCATTCCCTCTGTTTCCTCTTCTGCTGAGCTGTACCCATGTGTATGTCTGGCCACTGCACCAGGAGGCCTTTTGCACACAGAAGCAGCTCACTGCTTGGTTCCTCTTCTATCATAAAGTGCCACCTACACTGATGAGGTTTCTGAGTTATGTACAAAAATCAGACAGCCAACAAGAAACAAGTATTCATTTACACTGCAGTAGCACTCTCGAAGGCTTGGAAATACCAGTACATCAGGCACCTACAGAACCCCAACTTGGCCTTCAGGAGATGCACAGCTATGGAACTGCAGACTGGTTTCCTCCTCACGTCCACAGGTCACTTGGCACAAGAAAGGAGAGAAGCAGCTAAGTGTGTTCAGGCAGTTGTCCCTGACTTGTCCTCTTCACAGAGGAGAGATGGCAGAATTAGCCACATCCCCTTCCCTCCCACCCTCACCCTTCATTTGTCATCACAGCATTCAAGACTGTCACAAGTATTTTAAAATGTCACCTTCACTGTGATGGAAGAACACTGTTTACATGCTGGGAAAATGGATTAAAAAGTCTGGATCAGGCAGCAAGAACATCAACACCTCCAGCCTCACCTCAAACATGGTTAAGCCTCTCCTGAATTGTTGTTCTCAAGTCAGCCTCAGGGGAACAAAGCATCTCAGAGCCTGCAGTTTTGGGGAGGTCTAGCAAACATTGCCGATGGCATTAATAATTGCTAGAGGTGACTCAGGCAAGGCTTGGTTTGGTAAGATGATGGACTGGTGGTGCCTGAGAAACTGAGAAAGTCAAACACCTCTATACCCTGCTGGGCCACCTCCCTTTGCCTGGCATTTCTGACAGGACACAGCACTTCTGCAAATCAGGCCCCAGCCCAGCACAAGACAGGCACCCAGAATGCCTGGGACAGACAATGCTCCTTTCCTCTACATGGAGCTTCTCCTAAGCTTTCAGCAGCCTCAGCTTTCACACTCTCCATAATGGGTTTCTTCAATTGCCTCCATATGTGTGTTCTTAACTGGGGAAAGAAAAGGTAGAGTCTGATTCTGCACAATAAAGCAGCAAAGCTTACAGCCTGAGTTTGCAGCACTGGTATATCCACACAATACAGAATCAGGCAGAGTGTCCCATTTACTGCTTTCCACAAAATAAACCACTGACACACCACAGGTGAAGAAAAGTTGTGTGCTGACTGCTGCCGGAGTGCATGTCCAGAGCAGCCTCTCCTGGCTACAGTTTGCCACCAGAGGTGCAGATGAGAATAGCTGCCTGTATGAACTGTTTATTACCACTCCTTAGCATGGCTGTGTCATGATGGTTCAGTACTGGTTTTGGGAACGGCCTGACCCAGCTCTCCTTCCAGCTAATGCTTCCCAGTGGGCTGCTCACCTTCAACCCTCAGCAGTATTTGCACACTGCTGTGTGGTCCAGCCCCAGGCTGTAGCATTGCTGTTTGGTTATTACTTTGGCACACTGACACTTTTTGAGGCACATAAACTAAACCGTGGAGGAGGGTTTTTCAGTATTTCAGCCTGAGTTAAAGCTGGGCAGATTTCAAGAGACAGAGCAGAACTTTAACACACCCACCTCAATTTACTCCCTTCAAGTTTCAAGGCTGTGTGGCACACAGTGGATACAGTAAAGCTTCCCAAAAGGTTGCAAAAATTCACTTAAATTTGTGGGACAGTAAGTACATATATTGTAACAATTGATCCTCCTTGCCAGTAACATCAGCCTAGACTCACAGTAGCACTGACAGATTTTAAAGAGAAAGAAACATGCATGAATTTCATCAACTGCCTCCCTCAAACACATGTTCTTGGAAGTATCCCAGAGCTTGTGAGATCTTAAAACAAATGTTCATGCCAGGCAGGGAAGAGAGAGCGAGCCAAGTTACAGAAGTTACCAACTTCCTAGGGGGTTACTGACATGCTAGGCATGCAAAGCTATTGCCAGCATCTTGATTCATCAAGCTTTGAGGACGCGCAGAAACGGGTTTTAAACGCCGCAGCACTGTGTACAAAGTGGGCAAAACTCTTGTCCCAAAGCCCCTGCTTCTAAGAGATACTGAAGCTTACAACATCTCCCAAGAGAGCTGCTTCTCTGACAGCATACACCACTGGAAAACAGGAGAGAGGTAACAACTGGATAGAAGTCCAAACACTTTGAACATCACTGAACTCTATTCAGAGGTAAAGAAACTGTCATTTTCAGACTGACAGGCAGAAATTAAGTTATGCACTAGAGTTTCTGCAAATGCCATTCCAGAACACTAGGTATTTAATAGATAGACCATGCTTTAATAAACAAATGAAAAAATACTGAGCCAGTTTGCACCTCCATCCAGTTTCCCACCAAATCATCTGTAATCACTACAACACTAAGGAACCTTTTTTCAGTTGCCATGACAGCCTCATCACATTGTACCTTTACCAGCTCCCTTTCTCATTGTTCTGCTAAATAGCAGCAAGCTCTACTTGCTTCCTCTTCTACCAGATTCACAGTCAGCTGTGAGGGGTTGGAACCCAGCTTCTTTTAGAGACACAAAGAAGTGTCAGTTGGCCAAACTGACTAACCTAATCACCAAAGGATGAAATGGATCTTCCCTGTCCTGGCTAAGCTGAAGCTGAGCCATGGTCCTGAATGTTGACCTGATGCAGAACTACCAAGCATTTCTAACATAATGCACTAAAGACATGTTCATATGTAATGCCATGAATGGAAGTATGTGGTATGTTGTGAGCTGACACAAAAGTGAGGGGTATAGGTACTCAGATCACAGGAGCACAGTTGAGTCTTGATGACTGAGAGCGAAATTCACAGATAAACAGAAGATTTCCAAATCCCAGGCATGATAAGCCTGTTGTGGCAAGGATCAAGCATAATACACTCCACTTACACATGCAATGAAAGATT